TTTCCCCTGGCCCAGGATCGACTTTCTAATCGTATCTATTGACAGACATCCATTTTACAAGCACGATAAAATTTTAAGCCGATAAGCTGGCAATGCCCGATAACGATTGACGCGTACGCCAGTCCGCTTTACCGATCAGTCGACGACACCCGTGAAATCAGGCAGCGCGGAATACCTGTCCGCTGCGACTCGGTGAAACGTGTACGTTCTACTGTCCATAAATACTTGACCACTCGGTGCAATCGGATCGAAAGGTTTACACTCTCTTTGTAATGGAAATGCTCGTAAGTAGAACTGACGTGTGATCGACATGTAGAAATATTAGGCTACGTTGCACGTTGAACATTTTACTGGCAAGCAGAAAATGGTTATTTGCTTGATACGTATGTACAGGGTGTTTCGCGAGTAATGGAACTGTAGAATTCACGTGTGATTGATGTGTAAAAGTATTAGGCTGTGTTGCAGACTCAAAATTTTACTCACAAGCGGGGAATGTTTATTTACTGCATAGGTATATATAGGGTGTTTTGAAAGTAATGGAAGTGTAGAATTGACGTGTGATTGACGTGTAAAATAAATATACTTTAAGAGTAAAATGTTTAATATTATAAGAAATATATTTTTACTGACAAGCAGAAAATGTTTATTCATTTTATAGGTACATATGGGGTGACTGGAAAGTAATGAAAGTGTAGAATTCACGTGTGATCGATAAGCACGAGTATGGAACTACGTTGCATGTTAAAAATTTGTCTGAGAAATAGAAGAAGGTTCTGGGATACACTGTTCATCTATATAGGATGTTTCGAAAGTAGGGAGAGTGTTTGTAAGCGGAATGAACGTATGATTGAGATGCAGGAGTATTATATTGGGTAGCACCGAAAGTAGGCAGGAGAAGATTCTAGAATTTTTATTCATCTATATAGGGTGTTGCTAGAGTAATAGTGCAACCCGATGCAGAAGCAAGTGAAAAATGTACAGTGACATTGTGGAATATCTATTTTGAAATAAATTGGAGTTAAAACTTGGCACGTTGCACAGGTATTCGAGCTTAAAGTAGATGCAGTAAGTGGATGCATCAGCCAAGTTTTATTTGAAGTTTACAATCTACAATATTTTTTTGTATTCTATATTCGAAACAAATGAGTTCGAACTTTAGTCAGCTGCGTCGGTTCAGTGGCTACAGAAGTAGAAACGAGGAAAGGATTGTTTTAACCTATTTGGTAATTTTAATGGTGAAATGTTTGTGAATGACGCGTAAACAAGTGTATTATAAATATTAACCATATACAAATGGTATGCCAACTGATTTTCTATAATTTGTTGGATTGTTTTATCATAGTAACATAAAGTAAATAATTTTCTGTTGTTTCCCTTATACAGTATTGCATATTGCACATATTTATTATTTAATAACTTTAGATTGGAAATGTCCAATCATAATCGGTGAAGTGATTATTAAATGAATAATTACAACGTATATTAACCCTTAGCACTCCAGGTTGTTTTGTAATCTGTCAGCAATTGCAACTAATTTTTATGGTATTCCTAGCGAAAATGAGAAATGCTATAACATTTCTACGGTCTTTTATTTTCGTTCTTAGTATAAAATTTGGATGTGTGGAAAATCTAATAATTTTAGGGTAGTTTCTTTAAGATTCATTCAAATAATTAATATTATAACTGGTGCAATATTGGAGTCTACAGAGTTCAAAGGGTTCAAAGTTTAGCATATTATTACATGCAGATTACAGAAAGAGGGCAAAAGAAGCAAGGATAAAATAATGATTCTTAATTTTTCTACGATTTAGAATTTAATAAAATTTTCTTGCAATATTATACCTAATTATGAATTACGAATGAATTATAATTATACTTAAGTTTTCCTATAAATTTGATTTTCATTATACTGAAATTTTAGTATAAATTTTATTTTATATATTATTCTTATTACGCATAAATGTGAATGAAATTATTATAATGTTTTGCTGATATATTTAAGGGTAGAAGGAAAGACGTTACTAGTAACGTCATACTGACTTTCACGTGTAATATTTTCAGTGAAACAAGCCAGACGTTGGTCAGACGAATTTTACTTGATAATTAATGCACGGTAGCGCGTGTGAATTTGATTTATAACCGCCATAATTTACCGATTCCGTGGGCATCTACTTTCCAGTAATATTTATGCCATACAGGGTGCTCCATGAATGATTCAATCACTGTATTTTATGCATAAAAATTAATAACAACTTCTATTTCACTGATTGAATGAAATGAATATTTATGTGGAATCGGAATAAAAAACTGCTGTTCTGCTTTAATAATTTATGTATTTGAAAGGTATTAACGAAGGGATGTGTAGATAATAAATAAAATACGATGATATCTCTTCAATAGATCTGTTGGAATAATCGCTTGAGGAACGAATATTTAAACAAGAGTTTATCTTATCACGGAGCTAATAAAAAACGATTAAATAGTGGACAGAATGACAAGGTAGATCAACTGTAAATAAGCGATGCTCAAGTTTCTATGAAAAAGGAATTAGCGTGGTCATAAATGAAGATATAACGTCCTTAAACGTAGAAACATTTTAGATAACAGTGATGAAACTGGAATTATGTGAATGGTACTATCATTATCAATGAATTTCTAACATCTCTATTAAATAATTATTATTTTCGAATTCCCTACGATGAAACACTTGTTAAAATAAATGTCCAGATTCTTAAACCTACAGACTTAACGATTTCCAAGTACATTAAAGCCTCCGAACATTCGAAACATCCGAGCACATTATGAATGTTTTGAGAATTATTAAGACGCTCCGATGTTTCGAATGTTCGTTAGTATTATGAAAACTATGAATTTTTTGAGAATTATTAATTTTCATACTATCCAAAACTCTCAAAACTTTCAAGTTTTCAATTCTACATAGAGATCAAAACAGACACGAACGGCAAAAACATCATGCTCCATTCATCTCTCACAATGTTCCATTAGTTCTTTTCCTCATTTCACTATGGACTAACCTACAGAATCCAAAACCCACATAAGCGCCCGCAAAAGGATCAGATCTACCCGACCAATCCTTCATAATGCTCCAACAAAGGCAAAATGCTACAGCAAGTACCCAGCAATTTTCCAAACGAACAGAGAAAAACAAGAAACAAACTTCATCTCAATCCCCGACCCCGTAATGGCGATACAGAAATCCAGCTAATTCTTTTTCCTAGAGAGAACCGAGGGAAAGTGGACTCCGCTCGCGCACATAAACAAGGAAGAAGAGATAAAGGGGTAGCTAAAAGGGTCGCGAGGACCGAGGAACGCAGAAGACCGGGGAGCTCAACGGATTAAAAAGCAACAGTCGGCGGGGAACAAGATCAAAGCGGGATTAACAATGGCGGAGAAGGAGACAGCCGATGGGGAAGTGATAACGAGTGAAAAGGAATGCGAGGAGGTGCACATCGGCGAAAGCAAAAGCCGATCGAAGAGGCATATCGTTACCGCACCCCGGAGAGACAATGAAATATACATAGATGGCGTCCGGCATAGGCTCGATCCGGCTGGCATATGGCGACCCGTTATCGATTTCCAGTAAAAATGCAGGGAGCATAGTGTCCTGTAATTCCAGCGCTCGGTCAAGAGCCTGATCTCTAGACCGTGGATCCTTATGTGAATTCAAATTTGTAATTAACCCTTTGCACTCGAGAGGTGACTCTCAGTCACCGCATGATTCGATACAACGAAACTATAATGTTGAATATTTAATATTTCAAATTAAACTCCGCATTGTTACGTGAAATATTGAAATAAAACACCTTTGTTGCTTAATTTATCTATGAATTATCGTTAAATTAGTTGCAAACAATATCACGTATATCTTGTTAAAGAGTGTTGAATATTTCCATTGAAAAACTTTCGAGTGCAAAGGGTGAATATAATTAGAAACGCACATGGTGTATTATATTGAATATTAGTATATTAACTGGTGGTACTGTATTTAGTATAGCATCATTCTTGTTCAGTATAGTACATGTTAACGTCGTTGGTACAGTAATATACTAGTTTAACATAGTAAATAACAGTATTGTATTTGGTACAATGTCATACTGAGTTAGTGTAGTAAATATGAGCATAGTATTTGGTATAGTACTTCGTTTTTCTAACGAATACTATAAAAGCATATTCGTTTTATATGCTCTTAAGTTTTGGAGTGTATAATATTTATTACGTAGTATTGAATTCTTATCTTTCTTATAAATTACTGATAAATACATAGAAATCTGGAGTGCAATTATTACACTAAAATTCTAATTAGATTCGTCGACATATTCGTTTGCTCTCCGGCTTTGATTTAGCGAGATAAACGGACTTACCAGTAGCGATATGTAGATGGATAGACGCATTATATTTGATAGAATAAACACTTGATACTGAATGTGCTTTCTTCAGTTCCGTTCAAACCTTACCAGCAATTTCATCTTTATTCATTTTTGCTTTCTCTTTTTTACTTTGTTCGTTTTTGTCTGCTCTTTATTTGGTAGAAATGTAACTATCGAATTAGCTTTTACATATTTTGGGTTCTTGTTTATCCCTTTATAGGGCAAATTATTTTTTTGATGATAATTCGTATTTCCTACCGTATACATATTAGAAATACTTTAAAAAACAATTGTTATTGAGAATTTTTTTTCGACATTTTCCTAGATTCCTTGTTTTATAGTGACACCTATTTGTGCCACTAACCGTTCCTGCAACACCATAAGGATCAAAATGGTGAACAGAGTCCCTGTAATTTGACACGTAATAAAAATGGCATCTATATGTGCCACCAACCTATAAAGGGTTATATCATTGTTCTTTCGGATCAATTTGTCCAGTTGTTTTTGTTGTTCAAGGAAAACTGAATGGAAAAAGGAAAAATGTCTTAAACAATGAATATGCCCATATTTTTGTCAGTAGCTCTAAATGGGAAGTACTGAATAACACATGATATAAGTAAACTGTAAGTTTGTTGTTTATTCAATTTAATCTACATATAAGTTAGTTTGTCCTCAACATACAGTTATCGTATTCCGATATCTGAGACAGTCTGTAATTACAAAACTGTCTTATCTTTTGACTGACCATCCATCGTCATGTACCTGGAATCAAAAGAAATGTGCCTATGTATATAAAAAGTAATTTCTCAGTTATTTGTCATAATGGTGTTAGTGTTAGATATCTTTATTGTAGTTAATGTATCAGTTGAGGTACTGCTTTTTTGACGTTAAAAGTAGAAACTGAATATGATTCTGTCTTACGAGTTCCATAAAAACCATCAATTGGGTACGTAGAACATTACTTTACTAAGGACAATACACCAAGTGCCTCTACCATAGAATATAGAGACGAAAATTGTTCAGATGCCTTTTATGTGAAGAAATTTCATTTAAGAAGCAACATCTATAATAGACGTATAAATCCTTGGAAAATGAATAACCTGCACAGCTCATCAGACAGCATCTTTTTAAAACTTTTCCATCTTTTACGAATTCTCAAAAAACACTTACAACTAAAGAAACTGTAGCTGAAAATCAGAAAACCTATTCCACCATTATAACGATGAAAATATTATTTCTCAAGCCAAATATTTTACTGGACTTCATAGCTAATAATAGATATTTTATATACATTTAGAATACTGATCACTTATTAAAACACAAATATCCTTACAATGAAACCAAAGAAGTATCTACTCATACCAACAATAAAACAATTCATCTCGAGCTAACGAAATCTTTCTGCAACTGAATCCGACAAGGAAATTCCTTTCATGGATTAAGGAGATCTTCATAAATTTTAAAACCAAATGCAAACGCATTTATTACATAATAACATGTTATAAAAATCCTCTAAGTTGATCTCAATGCACCTATTTAACTCAAGCTATTATCATTCGACAGTTTCTCGCTGGATCAAGTCGCATGCCGTCCGGACACAATTTCGGAAGTGCAACTATAACGATGTCAGGACTAATGCTGTACTTTGGAGTCGTTATTAGCTGGGTAGTGTTTTTCATCGGATGAAGCAGAACAGAATGCCCACCAAAACTACAAACTAAATTTTGCCAAGATAAATCAGACAAGAAAGTTTCTTTCGCGGATTACGAAGATCCTCATAAATTTTCTAAATGCAAAACTAAATGCAAACGCATTTATCACATAATAACAATATGTCATAAGAATCCTCTAAATTGATCCCAATGCACCTACCTAACTGAGTCCCAGTATGCCGACTCAAGCTATGACCTTTTGACACTTCCCGGCAGGATCAAGTTGCTGACCTTCGGGGCATTTTTTCAGAGGTGTCACGATAATGGATATAGGTTGCATGGCGAATATTGGACCCGTTAATGGCTGATCAGTCCTTCGTTCAGTATCAGCCGCCATATATGGTGGAATATTCGGATAAATCCCGTAGTCCTCTTTCACCGGATGAAGCAGAACACTTTCCCCCATTAACAATAGAATGCCCACCAAAACTACAAACTTCATGTTGCCAAAGTAATGAAAACCTCTACTCCAACGTCTACTGTAGAACTGATCCTCGAGTCGAAGCCGATAATCCTTAAATAGCCGCAAAACCGGTATCATCGAACGGATCGTCCTTGCATATGTGGGATAGTTTATGGCCAGGCCTATTAAGACTCGGATGGTTCGCTGACAGACGACGATGGCCTGCAGAATCATGCCACGTGTTGACGAGATCAGAATTTTACCGTTTGAGTGCCACGCGTAGCTTTCTTCAGATTTTATGTCGAAAAAACCCAACGCATTTGAACGATACGAACAACTGACGGCGCACACACAATCTGGCGAAACGCGCACAACTTTTCAGACGCATGTACGCCACATCGCTAGTTTCTTTGTATATAAGAAATCCGAGTAATACATTTTGTATTTCGTTGTTACCTATTATAGATTAATATATTTATAATAGTATTGACATAGATTAAGACAATCGTTGTCCCGCTGCTTGGCTTTTCTCGACATGAAATAAAAGGAGCGCTATCGCGCCGCTTAGATCTTTTCGCATCGCATTCAGAAAGCGCTATCACGCTGTTCGGCTTTTTTTGAGCGTGTATTTTTAAAAACCTCTTCTATTCGAAAGGTTAAGATGATTGTAAGACTTTTGGGCAACAGTGTAGTTTTGCGAGTTGAGGAAAGCAGGACAGAGAGCACCAGCGTGGAACAATGTAGTTTTGAGAGTTTGGAGTAGTAGGCCAGCGTATGCCACTGGCGAATACTGTAGTACTGCGTAGAATAGATGTATAGTTCCGAAGTGTAGCTTAATTTTAGTCCAGCTGTATTCTATTTAAACAGAATTACAATTACACACGCTTATTTTCAACAAACCTTCCAATCCCACACGTATGTTAATCAGATGGATTATTCATAGACAAGGTCACTGAAGTAACTTTTATCTTAAGGAAGACCTTAGGGGGACTGATCAATCGGAACTGCTATTTGCATTTTTTTTAATACAATTTTTTTAGAAACACGTTTCATGAACACATAGGTACTGACCGAAAATAACAGGAGCCATGCATAATTAATAAAGATATCAGGATCTTTTTTCTGAATACCTTATTTAAACCGATAGATCGTCCTCGCATATGTTAATTAGATGGATCATTCATAAACAAGGTCACTAAAGAAACTTTTATCTTGAAGAAGATGGTATGCAGACTGGTCAAATAGATCGTGCCATTTGAATTTTTTTTGAAGATGCTATATGATGATTCTGAAGAAACTACCTTGTGGTAAAATTAATTTCCACGTAAAAATTTTCATTTGCCTGTTTATCATAACATAAACTAGACTCCTTGGTGTGCAATGAGAACTGGGGTTTGTGGTGAAGATTTCTAGCTCAACTGATGTTAACATGAGACGTAACAACATGAGAGCAAAAACAAAAAAATTAATGTTATTGCTATGAAAATAAACGATTAAACGGCTGACTTTAATTTATTGATATTATCTGTGTTCTAATTACAAGGTAAGAGAACGAAAAAACTTATAAAAAATATTTTAAATGTCTCCAACGATGAAAAATCGACTAGTACCAGCGGAAAATACATTCTAATTATTAATACATTCTAAGCATTAATTGATTCATTGATTAATTAAACAATTAGCTATGAGAAAGTAGACATTTTTGAAATTATTATAATCGTCATTGACGTTAACCATGGAGGAATATTACAATTATCTGTCTGAAGAAACGTAAAAAATATTTCAGATATTCCTAATGATAAATAACTGATAATTTGTAAGTACCGATAAGCAGTCAGCACCCATAGTTGCATACCAACAAGATAGATATCTAAATTCAGGATTCCAAAGCAATGGTTTTCCTAACGATTTATAACGGTTGTACTAACGATATCATCTTTCAGTCACCTAAATGTATCCATAATAATTCGTGGTTATAGGAACACAATTATTTGGATTTCCTTTGAAATCTCTTTGCAAACCTGGAGGGCAAGGATTAACGAATGCGTCATTACAAATAGGCTGTCCAGTTCTTGGGTCTACTGGTCCACCGCTCGCGCACGAGGGTTTCGAATAAGCATCGCTTGCCAGCAGCAATAAAACAGTCGCTAACAGTATGCACTTCATTTTCGCGAGAGATTTATTCTTAAACCGTGAAGAACTGCGACAGAACTGAACCTCGCAAGACGACGAGCCTTCCTTAAATACTTCCGACAATTTCTTTTCCAAACAGGATATCAGCACATTGATGCTTGGGAATCCCACGATTTAATAGTAGTCAACTGCCTCTAACGACTGTTGTTACAGAACCTCTTCTAACAGATTGCGTACACAATTGGGATGATTCATAGATCACACGAGCAACTTGATAGACACCTATGGTCAAGATTACAAAGAAAGAATCCTATCGTGATAGGTAGTCTAACCCAAATTACTACAATAGTGCGAGCAACCAATAAATTTAAGGTTAAATACTATTCGAAATATTCATTTTGTCGGATATTACTGAGCTACGATTACTGCACCTGACTTCAGGTATGGCATCAACTTACCAAATTTGCCGCACTCTCCCTGCTGGATCACGTCTATAATTCGGGAGAGGATTTCTCCGAGGAGCGCCTATAATTGCAGGATTCGCGGCGTACGGCTGTATATCACCATTGCCGACGCTAACTATTAACATATCAAATTTGTTAGCGACACGATAGAGAAGTACACTTTCCGCCATTAGCAACAGAACAATCACCAAAACGACAGACTTCATTTTGTCGACGGGGCACTTTCACTTTAGCGAACTGAAGTAACAATGATTCTCGGTCCGCAGGCATGGTTCTTAAATAGCCTTTCTATATTCCGTCTGATGACATTTCCTTAAGAATTTTCAAAAACGAGTCGGACGAGTCAAAAACAAAATGTCACAGATATTGATTATATATTGTATTCAGGATTATAATGACAGGATTGTGTCTAGAAATGAATTGAACGTATCGTGAACACGGCGATCACTCGTTTTATCCATGCATAATGCGATATCGGCTAGAATCTTTTTCCTTAGTCAACTGCGAGAGTTCACAGATCCTAATCGGTTGAGTTATTTACGGACAACTGAAGCGACTTTTACCTTGAGGACGGGGACATTCAACAGACTAGACAGCGAAGAATTCTATATATTCTCGACCATATAATTAAGTAAGTAGTCTAATTGACTAATTATATTCGGAACCTGCGAATAGGGCTAATAAATGTTTCTGATCAATAGGAAGAAGTAATATTGTTTAAATGTTTCAGATTAAATAAATAATGTATTCCTAATATTCTGCCTTTGAAATGCTTCAGAAACAACTCTATGATCTTTTTAGGATTAGAGAGCTCAGTCTCTAACAAAAGGTTAGTCTTGAAACATTATTTATCACTCACCTATTTAGTTTGCAATCAAATCTCTACATATTCCAGCAGGATCTAGATTTTGGCCTTCTGGGCACTCTCTATCAGGGACTATAATCATAGACGTAAGGAATGCCAATTGCACTAATTCTTCTTCTTTACTGTCAGTCATGTCATCAGCACAAGACGGTTCCAAATACAGATCTGCCATTACGAGCAGAACAGCTACTAAGAAAAAATACTTCATGCTGCTGTGATATTCTTTCCTCAGCGTGAAACAAAAAAACTGATCACAGTACCATGGGAAGCCTTCCTTTATTATAATCTTGAATTACATCACGATTCCCCACTACAATGAATTTTGTTGACAGTGACTGTTACACAATAGTACATTGTTTACACTTAATGGCCGACATTAGAACCTCAATGTATAAAATTAAATATACACATATCTGATATTTCAACGTTGTTACATTTTCCTCACCGTTGAATAAGGGTAAAATGATTCGAGGAAAATAGTAGAATTAACTTATAAAATACATCTAGGCCAACTTGGCAATTTTCGAATTAATTGTTACTTCCCTTGCTGCCTTATTCGATGCATTTGATGCAATGTTTTCCAAGTGAAGTTATTACAAATTCTTTAGAGGTTTGTCACGTAGGTCCGTCTATTATCAGTAGCAAATAAAACTACCAAGAAGACATACGTCATTTGCATTATCTTGAATACTGAATGTATAGTGTGTTTTATCGGTCAAGAGAACTATATTGAAATGGTTAGGCAGTTGTCTTTAAAAGCCACGGGTGAATAATGCAGCCCGTATTATCTTTATCCACTAATTACTCCTGGCGAATTATCTAACACAGATGGTAATGATGATGATGCTTACCTAACACCAGCCGAGTAATCGTAATTCAGGCTTAGAGGATAATGTATGTCATATCTGGATGATGCTCGGATAAAATTGTTATAATATCCTTTCCGACATAATGAAGTATCATTTACATAATTACATTAAACCAATGTACGAAGGGGTATATCCACGACTTTCTAGTTAATGTTAGCAATAAAATATGTATTAAAAATGTAAAATAAAATTATTTGAACATTCTGTTCTAATTTAGTTTAATTCATTGAAGCATCTGCAATTAAATCGCTTGCCTTACGAATTATTCCTCAGCTATAATCGATACAACTATTTTGCCATCCATAGATGATTAGAAAAGAAAAAAATTCTAAACATATGCTACGTCTATGTTTCCTCCAAAGTACAATGATTGATAACAGAAGAATAATGTTTAGTTATGATTAAAATCTCCAACACGAGTTTCACACGATAGTTTAAAGCAAAAGCTTTAAGAATTCACACATGATAAATACAATACATAGTGGTACATGTTACACGGAGTTGTACATTTCGTGCGAGAACTGGTTAGACCGGTTCGAGCAGAATCATGAGTGTATACAATTACAAATAATTATCATAGTTCGTCTCGCTTCCCTGGGAATGGATGTATAGATGAACGTGTGTACAACAGACGAACGGCACGACTCCGCGTGTGCGAGTGTTTTGAATAAATGATTAAGTCGTTGCAACATTCCAAGCGAAATTGATTTTCGGTAATATTGTTTGTTGTATGTTAATGATATTCATGTTAAGCAAATCTAAAATATTCCAAATGTATGTGAAGTTCATGCATGATTACTAAACAATGTTCTAGGAAGTGTGAGAGTCAGATGAATGTTTACAAACGTATATATTGTACGGGCGACTTGATTTAGGGTTCATTGTCTTATTGCAAATAGTATAGTAAAAGTGTTGTTTATAAAAATAAAATATTCTCTTTCTTCTAGAATATTGTGTTAATTGTACTTGTATATGAATCAAGTAATTTTCAGGTTTTGCTGATATACGTAAGAGTATAAGCAAAGATGTCACTAAGTGGTACCGTTAGTCCTGGCATTAACGTATAATATTTTCAGTGAAACAGATCAGCCACTGACCAGGCAACGTTTATTTGGTACTTAATACACGGCAACGCGTGTAAATTTCATTCTATGGCCGCTATAATTTAACGATTGTGTAGACACCTCTCTTTCAATAATATTTATGACATACAGGGTGCTTCATAAATGAGTCATACACTGTATTTTATTCATAAGAATTAGTAACAAGTTCCATTTTACTATACCGTGAATATTTATGTGGAATCGCAACAAAATACTTTCGTGTCATTTATATTTATTTCTGCTTTAATAATTCATGTATTTGCAAGATATTGTCGAGGGTTATGTAAACAATAAATAAACTATTATGATATTTCTCGAATAAATCTGTTGGAATAATCGCTTAAGGGACAAATATTTAAATAGGAGTTTATCTTACCATGGAGCTAATAAAAAAACGATTAAGTTGTGGACTAGATGACAAGCTAGATCAACTATGCTCAAGCTTTTATGAAAGAAGTTTTTAAATGTAGAAACATTGTAAATTTCTGATATCACTACTAAATAATTATTATTTTCAAATTTCCTACGGTGAAGCTCTTGTTAAAAAAATGTTAAGATTCTTAAACCTACAGACTTAATGACTTCCGCCAAGTATATTGAAGCCTCTGAACGTTTGAAATATTCCAGCATCTTAATAACTTCCAAAGCATTCATAATTTTCAAAATGTCCAAAACTCGCAAAGCTTTCAACTTCTGAATTCTACATAGAAATCAAAACAGACACGAATAGACATGTGATCTTATTCCATTCATCGTATTAAGTACCCGACTAATCCCTCATAATGCTCCAAGAAAGGCAGAATGCTTCACCACGTACTCAACAACATTCCAAGCGAAAAGAAAAAAACAAGTACTCCGTCCGATGCCGAACAAAACGATGAAAATCCTCGAAGGTTGGTTTGCGACAAGGACGTGCCAACAAAATAATTTTCGGGATTAGCTTTTTCTAAATTCAGTTTATTTTTTGTTACGATGGGCAATTTCACCCTAAATAATAGTAAAGTCATTCAGTCATTCCGCGTTTTTCCAAACAATAGTTTTGGAATCTTGCTCCGTTCGTCCAGAGAACCGATCGTATCGTAAACCGGGAATTTCCAAAGGGTCGACTCGAACCTCGTTCGTAACGGTTCCTTCAGACAAGAGTCAATCTAAAGGATATTTCCAAAGTATCGGCGAATCTTCGAAGTTCCTCCGCACGTGGCCATTGCCCTCACTCTCGCACCAAGACGGCTGATCAAAGAGCATCATCCACAACGCCTCCGATTTTTTTAATTATGCGCTGATTGGGAATTCGAAAATATCCAACCAGCGCCCTCGATGCGACCTGAAGGTGCCGTACAAAAACACCTACAGGATCGCACGCGCAACACACTTTACACTAGAAGTCCATCGTTCGAGACACATCTTTCGTAAAACACACATTCGACACACCTTCCGTATCACACAGCATTCGACAATCTTTCGTAACACACTCCGCTACACTAAAAGTCCATCGTTCGGGACACACACACCTCAGCTTCACACTCCGAAGAAGCAACTAGTTCAAAATTCGAGAATTCGTTCTTCTCGAAACGCGTAACATAAAAACGGGTTCTCAATATCGTGAGAAACCGGTGATCTGATCTCGATCATTCGGAGATCAGAATCGAAACAGTCGGTTTCTGATTAAGTTCGGAGATCGAAGCGTCGCGATCATCAACGAGACCTAAAGTTAAAGCTGGCCCTTACAACTCCAACCAAGGAATTTAATCCGCGTTTGGTGACCGTGCAC